TAAACAAGATGAACAAGGAAAGGCCGCGTTCAATGAACGCAACCCCCGCACGACCCAGAAACAAGAACCATTTGCAAGGAACCCAGGAGGATCCTAAACAAAAACCGGACGGCGCAAGAGAGAGCACGGTCTGGCTTATCACTAAAATGATACAAAATGATAAATATAAAGAAATAATGGTAACATACAAGGAAATCAAAATCAAAGAAAATATATAAATGAATGATTAATAGGACCATTAAATTCGGGGAAGGGGGGGGGGCGGAATAAAGAAATAAAACTAGGGGCAAAGGGAAGATACTTACCATAGACAAGAAAACAAGGGACACAAACAAAAGTGTCACCAAAACAGTATGAAACAACAAGACATACACCTTATACATGTATAAGTCTCTTAATCTGTTCATTTGAAAATTCTTATCTTCTCAATGACTTTTTTTTTAATATCCTCTACTTAAAATTTATTTCAATTAAAATAGGTGACCCTTCCCTTATAGTTACACAGCATATGGCTGGATCACAATAAAGTTCCTTTTTTAGTAAATTAATAAAGTATGTCAAGAAGACATTTAACTTTATCAGTAGGTTTAATATGGTATTATAATATATATCAGCAATATGTGAAAAAGAATTCCTTTATTTCTTTTACATTCTTAATTGCCATTTAAATATGCATGTATAAATGATGTCAGTATTTTATCGGCAGTCATTAGCAGTAAACAAGAAGGCAAACCATCTATTGATAAATGTTGAGTACATGTATTAAAATATTTAAAAAATATTAAACAACAGTACTTGTACGGAGCCTATTTGCTACCATTGTATTTTAGGTTTAACACATTGATACTTTTCAATAGTATTTAATAATGCACAAATTTATTTAAAAATAATGAATAGATTTATTTCCCCGATATTTTTTTTTGAAGTTAAATCTTCATGCGTAACCCACACTTACCTGCTAGACACACTGGTTGCTACTACCAGCTTTCACGGAATCGATTTTTTTACGATGACGTCATAACATGTCCGCTGGAGATAGTGTATACAGTACAAATTTGAAATAAACCGCATGTATGCGTTTAGACAGGTACAATCTAATATTTTTTCTAGGAGAAGTTAGTACTAGAATTTATATTCTATTGATTTTTAGAGGACATTGAAGTTACTTTAAGGTTTAAGCAGTAAAAATCAGTCCAAACTATCGATAGTGTTGCCGGTAGATTTTCCGTGCGTAAAAATGACAGTTAAAATTAGGCGTAACGGTTTGACAGTAAGAAAAAAAAAGTCTGTAAAATGGGTCAAACCGTTCACGCCAAATTAATTAGGCTAACCCTGGAGGAGTTAGTTCAGACATACATTTAAAACAGAAGTAAATGAAAAAGCATCTATAGATAAAACATTGAGGTTGAATATGAAAATAATAGTTTAATACTGGGAATTCAACCTGGCTATAGACTACACATGTATATTTAAAAGGAAATCAAATAAAAGAACAAAGAATATAATTGAGCCGCGTCACGACAAGACCAACATAATGGGTTTGTGACCAGCATGGATCCAGACCAGCCTGTGCATCCGCACAGTCTGATCAGGATCCATGCTGTTCGCTTTCAGTTTCTTTACTTGTTATAGGGTCTGTAAGCGAACAGCATGGATCCTGATCAGACTGTGCGGATGCACAGGCTGGTCTGAATCCATGCTGGTCCCAAACACATTTTATGTTGGTTTTGTTGTGTCGCGGCTCAATATAGCAATGAAATTGAGTCAGTTCTAGTTGGGCGCCCCCATTTTTAATGTAACTCAATGATAACAGGCGGGGTATTCCAATACGGAACAATCACAACTTTTTGGATCAATAATTATCGTCGAGTGTTCAAAGTGAAAAGAGGCCAGTGTTTTTTTTCACTTTTGAGGGAAGGAGGTTGGTGCCCTTTGGAGGGGTAAAAATGCAATAGGAGGGTAAGGGTGTAACAATACAGCTAAAACCGTATTGCAATATATTGACATTTTGCTGAAGCGTATTGCAATATATTGCAATACGCTTCAGCAAAATGGCAATATTGTCGGGTATATGTTTTGATTTAAAGATGAAGTAACATTATATATTATTATTATATGTATATATTTTAAGTAAAAACTTAATAAAAATGTAAGGAATAAATAGAAAGTAAAGTGTCACACAATTTGATAAACAAAACTAGTCACGTGTGACCTTTCACATCTGGGCCGCTTATGTAAATAATGCGGCCGTTTATTGATTTTTAAGTGTACTAGTTGTCGGATACTTTAACCTTACGTTGGCGCCAATAAAATTCGCCAATTAAAGATTTTATGTGACATTTGTACAAAATTAGAAAACAATTAAATGAAAAATATGATCAGGGCCAAAACACCATTTTTGGGGAAGGAGCCTAAGCCTTTTTCTTGGGGAAAATATGCGCGATTTTGGCATACTTTCAGAAATGGGGTCTCAAATTTAACACAAACTTTTAACAAAATCTTCAAAATAGAAAAGCAAATAGCACTGGGGAAAACTAACAAGGCAGTAAAAGACCTTAATTCAACACCATCATTTAATTTTGTGCTAAATTTTATTGGAAATTTCAAAAGACTGGGGAATTTTGAGGACCAAACTGGGGAAAAAGAGGCTATTTTGGTTGGGGAAGCAGCCTATATTTGGCCTCTACAGCCCTGATGATTTTTACAAAATACCGGTTTTCCAAAAATCGTACCGCGGTACGAAATATATTTTTTCATATTGCAATATATCGGTATACCGGTAAACCATTACACCCTTATAGGAGGGGGAATTTTATTTGTTTATTTATTTTATATTGTTTTCTTTTTGGTAGAAAATAGGAGCAACTCTTGCAACACAAGTTTAAAATACGTCGCTTTTTCTTAATTTTCAGTTAGGTTTTTTACAGAATGACATGATTAGTAATTTTGTTCCTGATTATCATTATTGTATGATAATTTTAACATCTTTGCATAGTTCATACAAGCCGAAAGCCTGTCACTGTGCATACAAAGGTACAGGACTAAATAAACCTATAGATTATTGGATAAAATGGTGCTAATGTGTAATCACTAATCATTACAGTGTCTAACAAGGAAGCTTAAAGAGAATAATTATCACCTCTGGTGAACCCACAGCCTTAGATTAGGTGTCCGGTGCTCTATTGGAACATCACTCTTCCTCTTTTATTGGCAGTCATTTGTTTGAATTGGGGCGTCCAAGGCCAAGTGGCTAAGATTGCTTACCTTGAATAGCTTGCCAGTCACCAGTGAGGGTTCTACATGTACATTGTATGCTTGTCAATATGGATCTTTTTAGGTGGTGTGGGTAAACAAACCAAACACACAGTAACAGACACTACATTGGATTGGTTCCCATCCTGTCAGGGACCTTGGATTCTGTCATTGGAAGAAACTATCTAATTAACTTATAGAAGGTTGTTGGTGTCATTCTGGTTTCGGCTTGTGCCTGAAATAGTGAACATAAGGGGTGCCCACCAGTGAAGTTGGAAATATGACCTTTCCGGTGTCTGTCACGTGTGTGACTTAAAAAATACAAAAAAAAATTATTTTCTATTAGCATTTCTGTAATGAGTATGTATATATATACATGTATATACATTGTATTTACATGTTAATCTTAGGTATTAGACTATTGTTAGCACACAGTTTGGTATTTACTGCATTGAATGCTTGATATACTAAAATAATTTCCCAAAATAAAAATAGCTTATTTGTTTATCTGCAATTTTTAATTATCTCTTGAACATATTTAGTATACTAAAATTACTATGTCAAAACTCATCAAGCAAAAAAAATATTTCTTGGGCGTGCATACACTCAAACCTTTCTAGAAAATGGCATACATGTACACATTAATTCTTTTACTATGTTCACAATTTCAAATTTATAGCTGAACAGGTCAATTATACATGTATATTAGTGTTCTTTGCATAAGAAGCCGTTTCAGTATACATGTAGACAATACATAATTAGTAAATTACATTGTTTATATTATGATACACTTTTGCAAAAAAGAATATATTCAGTACTTGATTACTTGAAAAAAGTCCACTTGAGCAGATAGTGATATAGTTTATAGACAATTAGGATATTTATGTCAGTTCTGCTAAATTTGAGCAATGGAAATATAGACTATCCTTTGCTAAATCAATTATCAAGTGATGAAATATTTTATTACTAAACAGTTGAAATGTTTAATTACATTGCATAGAAACACAGTTGAATAGTCTTCTACGCAATGAATTTTCCAATGGGATATTATGAAATTTTAGAAATTATTATAAGTAGGAAATCAGAAATTTAGCAAATCTTGATATTTGGAAATCTTAAATTGATAATTATGCAACATATGCATGTTACTGTGACTTACATACATGGTAATTAGATCTGATTTTTGCTAGACTTTAAGTCTTTTTTTTTCTTCACTGTGTAGAAGCAAGATGAGATGGCAGTTTTGAAATATATCACATATGTAAAAAATACTGTCATTTATTTTTTAACCATTTGGTCTTTTTAAACAACCTTATAAACAGCAGAAATTATTTTTGGGTGTTACTCTATCTTAATAACGAATGAAATGATCTCCATCAAACTTACATGTATCTTAATTACTGGTATAGAATCAATATTGACAAACTTCGTTACTTGAAGTGTAAAAGTAAAGTTTTTTTTGACTCTTAAATGTGCAGTTCAGGCTTAAAATGAAAAAGATTTAAAGTGCACTTTTTCTTTGATTTGTATAAACCTCTTGTTAAAGAACCTATATGCATTTATCTTGTATTTTATAAACACATGACAAAATATTGATATGATTGTTACTGTATTGTTAATGAGTAATGATAAATTCACATGATTCCTAATTGTTTCCAAAATATACCACTTATATGGGGCACTTAATTGACTCTGATATATAATGTATAATAAAATATTATATAATGTGAATAATTTATCTATTTCAGTTGTCCATATTTAGCAGAGCATGTGACTCCAGCTATACCAGCAGTGGGTGGGGCATTGTTTATTTTTGTCATGGCAACATTATTTCGCACAAGCTTCAGTGATCCTGGAGTAATTCCAAGGGCAACACCAGATGAAGCTGCTGACATTGAGAGACAAATTGGTACAACACTTTATTAAAATTTAGTTAAGTCATTAAATTAATTACATGTTTGTAATTTATAATATTTCTAACCTTCCAATGTTGAAAACATATTTTGCTAACATTGCGAAGAACCTGTTTTATTGACCAAAAGAAAATTGTAACTTGTGTGAAGTCACTATTTTGCCTTCTTTTCATCACAAGTACTTTTTCTCTTCAGTCTTCATTATTGGTTAAAATATGTAGGTACATGTAGCATGCATGTAATGTCATTTTAATCATTCACTGAGATTAAAAAAATTTTTTTCCCCTGTTTTTGTTGTGCTACATGAGTTTGATAAGAATGATGACTTTGTAATTGGTACTTCATGTTTGTATGATACAGTTAGAAAAAAAGTCTGTTAAATGTTAATGTTTTATTAGTCAACACAATTGCAACTTGGTATCAGTTGGTGCTCATAGAATGCTCATAGTTTTGATAATCTTATAGGCATTTAAGTGTAGTTAATTACCCTGTTCTGTATTTTTCAGATATTCCTAACAGCTCAGTTCCTGGGGCATACCGACCCCCTCCCCGTACTAAGGAAGTGGTGATAAAAGGTCAAGTGGTCAAGCTGAAATACTGCTTTACATGTAAAATATTCAGGCCACCAAGAGCCTCACATTGTAGCCTATGTGATAATTGTGTTGGTAAGTAGATTAAAATCCTCTTGTTTTAATGTGGGAATAAAGGAATAAACAATTTAACATTTAACGCTTAATTATCAATCTCCAAATCGGGCTTCCATGAAGTTTCAAAATGTGGAAGTCAAGAAACTGAAAATGTCTGGCATTGGAACAATTATATAGTTAAAATTAGGAAAAGCATTATTGTTTTTGGAAGTCACAAGCCAAAATCAGGAGAACATGACTCCAAAACTTCCACTAGTGGAATCACTGTGACCTTATTGAAGCCTAGGTCACAAATAAGAAAATGCCGCCGGGCGGCGTCTGTTTCCCAAAAACATCGCAATATCGGCCGGCGACCGTCCGGCGGCAGTGACTATCGAACGGCAGCAGCTGAAAATTTTGCTCATCGGGCGGGCGCCTTCGAGTTTTAAGTAATACTTAAAAGCTAACGGCGGCCGGACGATAATTTTTGGGGTCACTGAGTATAAAATATCATCGAGCGGATATCGCTCGGGCGGCGACCGGGCGATGATTTTTTGATCGGGTGATTCATGTACAGGCACCGGGCGGTCATCGTTTTGTCATCCGGCGACCGGGCTGCTCGTGTTTGTTGTAATTTCAGCTTGAAGAAGTAAACTGTTGTAATTGCCTCAAACATATATTTGTGAATTTCTTTTGAATACTAGTAAACATGAATTTTTTCTTCAATGTCCATGCGAATGTCTGATTGATTTTCGCCTTCTACGGCCTCGATACTGACCGTAGTGACTCGGTGTCAACAACACGGACCATCTCCTTGGCCTTACCCTAGGCTTTGTCAGCTGACTTCTTTGCTGGCATTATTACAACTGGCTGATTTAGTGTAAAGTCATTGTCCCCCGGCGCCCGCGCGGCAACCGTGCGATTCATTTTTAAATCGCACAGGCGCCGTACGGACATCGGGCGGTGACCGCCCGATCCGTTCAATTCTTTCTGTAAATTCCAATCGGCAAAAATCGCCCGACGACTGTTTCATTCATGACCACGCAAGGTATCAGATTTAAAATCGCCCGGCGTCCCAACATCAAAAAATCTGCCGATTTTATAAAAATCGTATAATCGGACGGCGCCCATTTTATTTGTGACCTAGGCATGACCCAAGTTGCTGGAGTTGGTATGAGTACTACATTTATTGTTTAATTTGTTAAATTTGCTATTACACTCCTGCTCTGTACCTGAAATCTTTAATCCCTCCATTATTATTAATGATTTTTACACTGGCCAGAAACAGAATGATAATTTTATATACCATGCATTATATATAGAATAGCTCTAATTTCTAAAAACACACCATATGATATCATAAAACAGGGCTTCCATAAATGGAAACTTTGTGTGCCATTTACTCCTGATTTTGGCTTGTGACTTCCAAGATATAATGTTTTTCCTTCTTTATCTATATAATGTGACATCCATTGTCAGACATTTTCAGTCTCTGACTTCCCAATTTTGAAACATATGGAAGCCCTGATAAAAACATTATCGTCATTCTAACCAAAAAGTCTAGAGGTTTGCCTCATGTAGAATGCAGAAAATATTATCATCAACATTGTTGAAAATGCATTACATTTCTAATTATTTATTTATGAAATATATCTAACTTGGTGCATAAATTTATAGAATTATGTGTTATATTTGACATGCCCATGCATGATGATAAAAAGGGATTGTGTATATGATGATTGTAAGTCATGTTTAGTTAAAGGCGTGTACAATACTGGTAATTGATGTTATTTTGCCAAAATCTTAGAATGAACAAATTGTGTTAGATCAATTGTTGTCATTTGATCAGATGGAACAATTTTCAGTGTAAAAACTGCATAAGGTGGTACTAGTACAACCACAAGAAATTGGGAAAAAGAGCACAAATTCATTTACATGTAAATTAAGAATTGAATTTGAATTTGCCAAATGAAAAAAATATTCTATTGATTCATTTATTCCTTCACCATAAGCCAATAGAACCCAATAGTATGATATCTTTATTTGGAAGAAATATACATACATGTTGTATATCCTTATTTTTTATTGAAATCTAAAAAAAATGTAAATTTCAAATACAAAGGGGTGACAGATCATATTATTTGACTCTTTAAAACAAAGGTATCTTTATTAAATGGCATATTTATGTAACTGCTATTTTAATGCCCTCTCGAGAAGATTTCATATATGTAAGTAATGTTCCAATTTCAAAGGACTTAAAATTAGTAAATTTTGCATTTTAAGCATATGCAATATTGATCATTTTTACAAAAATTCTGTCTCCATAATAAAGTTCTGTTTATTATTTAAAATTCTTATTATATAGTTAGACTAAACAACCAAAATTGAGGTTACAAGTTATTTACACTGGCATTTAAAATTGGCTTGTTTTGAAAGCATTATTGGCTGTAGGACAGATATTGGGCTGGTATGACATGAAAATTGAAACATAAGCTACAGGTCATTTAAGTTAAATAGAGCAAGCAATACAAGTGGTATTAACAAGGCACAATGTTATTGAACTAAAGATGACTTCACTTTGTGTATTGATTATTCAGGGTGATCATAGATTATTCATCCACTCATTTCATCATCGAAATATTCCCTTTTAGAACTAAACAGTACTTGATTCTCTTCTTTTTCCTTATGCTGTCCAACCATTGTCCAATGAGAATACAAGCTCAACAATATAGAATTGTGCTTGCTTGCTTGAATATTCTTACTATTAGACCAGGCTTTAAAATTATAAGGATTTCAATAGTATTTTCATATTGAAATACCTTACAAGTATCAACAATGTAACAGTATAATACATGTACTAAATTTAAGGAATGAGAAATTTTAGTTCTTTACATAAAATTAGAAATACAGCTGAATGTATGAAATGGTCAACTTAAACACACAAGGTAGTGCTATTCCCAAAGAATATTCTTATTTTGTAAGCCGGCATATTGTGTAATAATAATTCTTTGCTTGAAATACATGTATGATACAGTAATTAGAGTTTGTTGTCATGTATTAGGAAGATCTGGCCTTTTTAATTTCTTTACTGACAAGTTGAATACAGTTCCAATTATTTTCATATCATTTGATGTCATTCATGAGAAGAATTTAATAAGTTTTCACGACTAGGAAAGCCAAGTGTTACAATGTTACGAGAGGCAATCAGCGTCAGCTAGCTTACGATGCTGCCTGATTGATTTTCTGTGTGCTTGCAGAACGTTTACTTAAAATCAATAAACATGTAAACAGATACTGTACTTTATAAAAGATCTTCCTTAAAGATGTGTCATTTATGGTGCAATCAATACATGGCTTGTTAGATGGTATAAAGTAATTTAGACTTGGAAAACTTGGACCTCGTTTAATTCATCAAACTGTTGAACACTGATCATTTCAAATGATCATAATGATACAGTACCTCATTAGAACAGAAATTTGTGATTGGTTATATATCAAAAATCAGGAGGCTTAGCTTTCATTGCTATGAAATTTTATCTCAAATATTAATACTGTTCCTTCGTTATAACCTTATTTGATACCATATAATGACATTAACCTTAAGCCTTGCTAAATATGTATTGATCTATTTGACATTTTAGATTTGCTGTGAATTTTGAAAAAAATATGCTTTATTGATTCATATGAGAACTTTAAGCCTAAAACGCTTAAAATAAAGTGCCATTATTGACAACTGTATTTGGTCGGTCTGACCGTTCCTGGGTGTGAAGTATAGGAAAATAATCATTAATGCTGGTTTTTAGAAAGTATGAATATTTTGCAGTTCTTGATAGATACATTCTCCATTAAATTTAACCTTTACCACACTATTGTACATCATTAAACCTCACCAAGTCTAGGTAAAATTGTATTATTTCTGACAGAATAGTCAACAGTGTATTCAGTTGCCACCAGGAGGGTAAAGGTTAAAGATGTTGAATTGAATACTTTTTTCTGTTGCTGAATATTTCCATATTTGATATAAAATTGTTAACTCAAGTATGTAGGAATGTATTATTCTTTAACTTAAGGAAATACATAATAATAACCACCTATTACAGAATCTCATATAGTTACCACTTGCATTGGTCTCTAAATTAAGACGGGCTCAATAATAAGAACACTTCCACAGCGGCCCCAAATTGGTCTTAATAGCAAGACTTTACTGTAATTGAAATTCACTTGCTTGCCGACTAAGCTGATTAGTACATTGTTCCCATTCAGATACAGATAGTTAGCAATATGGAATTGTACTTACATGCATTCAAGTTTGACACTGGTTGTGCCTCAGTGAACTTGGAAAATACAAGACTTAACGAATAAGTTACATCAATAAAATACTCAGAGAAATGACTTGTATAAATCAATACATTTCATTGGGGAATAAGCAATTTCACCTTTACTACCCAGTTACAAGAGCTGCACAATAATGAGTCATCAAGCTATAGGAATGAGGTCATATATGGTATTTTTATGGCTAGACATAGAATCTGAATCAATAATGTCATGACAAATTTTCCTAGTAAATCAATTACCATACAGCTTGGACATGTTGTCATATTTCTTTTATATCCTCATATAAAGATATTCTCATATAAAGTTCATGTCTTTACCTTTCATAAATACTTACTTGTACTTCTGACATTTATTGTTCAGACTAGCTGGCATCATTTTTCTCGAAATTTTCTGTGTAAAATAAAAGAAGATAAAAGGAATACAAACATAAAATTAAAGAATTGAAGATAGTTATATTGATATTTATGTTTTATTCTATTGAATGATTTGATTCAGTTGTTTGTGTTGAAACCAACCCCATTATTTTAAGTTATATAAGTTATAGTTTAAGAGCACATAGATATATATTATGTGTAATATGATTTATTTATCATACTTAACCCATTACGTTATATACACGCCTTTTAACGCCTTTTTCACCCTCCCCCCTTTTTTTGTTGTCTCTAATGGTGAAAAAAATGCCTTATTTAGGCCCCCAACACTTGTTTTTGTTTGAGAAATGTTGTT